AGTGCACCCACAACGCTCACTGCTGCACAAACTTAATGAACGTTCGTTCGCAAAACGCAACCCAGCCCGATGAATCGTACATTCAGAGGCCCTAAATTGAGCACTATAAATACTCTTAATGAAATGTTTTCATTAGTGTTCATTATCTTCAACGCTATTTAGTATTTATTATGTTAAGATTTTCTGTCTGTCTAGTAACCAAGTCGCCGTCGTGTCTAATGAATAAACATTTTAAAGATAAGTAAATAGCTTTTCCAATGTATTGAGATCTGGATGATGTCCAATTAGACACTAAATATAGTGCAGACGATGAATGACTTTATCTAAACTGACTTGATGAGTCCTGAAATATGTAGGCGTAGTATATGTCAATTATGGATTGTAAGTGAACTACGTAGGCAGTAAACATTCCATAGCTAATTTCTCGTCATTGCGGTCTGAGGTAGGGCGGCCGGAGCGGACAGATGTATGTCTGTACGTATATCTATAATGAATCACGTAGCGGTGCTTGCTATTCCAACAGAGGTCGCCGTCTCGTCTACGTCTACTTGCCTATCTTACAATACGTGAAGGTTCACGAACAATCTCCAGTCTCAATTTGTGACCTTGTTTATTAATCAGTGTAAACAGATATCTAGGTTAATTATGGCTATTTCCTTTGCTTCATAATAACATACATTACGATGCCATCTCTGTGATTTATCTTCTAATTGTATATTGTATATGGAATTTGCTGTGGCATTGTAGATATCCATGTACAGGATAAGGCAAATTATTTGAAACATTGGAGATTAGTAGACTTCAGTTTAGTATAGTTTAGTGTTTAGTAAGTAGTCTATAAAGTGATCCGACATATGAAACAACTCCAGCGTGGCACAGAACGCCACGAGCTGAGATTACTGGCAGCTTTTAAATGCCTCGAACGTTCTGAATGTTCCGCTGCGGACCACTTGGCGAGTTTTGAAAACCCCTCCAGAGGAGTGCCCAAAGCAATAGCTTTTGCTCCAGATTTGTTAGTAGTAGTTTCGCTCATTTACAAAACGGCAGAGTTGAGGTGATCGGGAATTGTCAAAGGATTCGTGCTTTAAAATGTTTTATAAAAACGCAATGAATTCTCTTTTTATATTTCTGAATCAAGAGAGAGACAGAGATCAATGCAAGGTTTCAAAAATAAAATTTATATAGGTCAGCTACGAGTTTCGCAATATCATGCGTTCATCCGAGTTCGGATTGTTTGAAGCGATTTATACTTTCCAAGAAGTAGAGGGTAGGGATTTCAGCGCGTTCGTTCGCTAATTTTGTACCGTACGCGTTGTGTAATAATATCTTGTTTGTATTTAACTGGAAGCCTGGAGTGATAATCATCGGCGTGTAACATAAATTCGTTTACACCAGAATATAAAGTTGCCTTGATTTTATTTGAGTTTCAAAGTATTTCGTTTTTAGAAGTGACTTTGCTTAAATCAGTCGTGCGATGAAAGCGTGTGTGTGGGTGGACCAGTTGGTTGTGAACTTCTATTTCGAGTGTAGAGCGCGGGTTGGCGGCATGGCGGCGACTGCCGGTGCATCTATCACAGCCCACGTATGGCAACAATACTGCAAGCTGTGCGAACAGACAACACCTGAGCCCACGCACACTTTCACTGCTGCCCTTTACAAAGTACCTACACTGTTATTTAATCAAATGTGTCACTATGCGTAGGTAACTGATACTTATGGATATTAGACAAAGACTTTTCTGATGAGGAAAACAGATTAAAGTTTTCCTTGATATTAAACAAATAATAGAGGTTTATAAAATAGCTAGTATTAAGATTTGTGCAATATAATCGTTAAATAAATTATATTTTTTGTTTAAGTTACGACATGGAAAGTTAAATATCACGTTATTTTTTATTAGTCAGCACGATAATGAAACTGTTACAAAAACTGGTATCTAGGTAGGTGCCTAACTAAAAGAATTCAGTCAACCAGAACAAAGTTGTTGACTAAGATGAAGTCACTATCTAGTAGATTTCGCAAGATGACGACGGCTACGTATTGATGTATGACATAATCACGCTGCTGGACTCCGGTATATATTAGTACATTGGTGCAACAGCACATGTATTATACCTGTTTGCCACTAATAACATCATCTCGAATATTAAAACTTTACATCTCTGCTCAACGCCTACGTCATGGCCCGCGGTCAGTGTTTCATGGTCGTTTTAATGTCAGCAAATTGAGAGTCGGAGGCGATGCGATGATGTTCGCCAATCCGGTTTGACAATACGACGCAACGCATCGCTCGGCAGGTAGATATCAGCGGCGTGGGTGAGGTTAAGTGAATAAGGCAATAAGCTCGGTTTAATCAACACAACACGTAGCCTAATCAAATATGACCCCCTCGTCATATCGTGTAATTGAAGGCTTAATCACGGGAGACGTTCCGCGAAAGGCGCGGTGGCGCGGGACGCGGAATGAGCCGCGGGTTTGTTTGATCAGCTCACGATTACGTACGTACCTATCACAGAAACGGTGACAACTTTTGTGGAATAACATTCGGTTTGTTTAATGAAAGTCTTACGCGGCGAAAATGTACGAAGTGATGGATTTAAAAAAAATCTGAGAATGAAAACAAAGGGGTTATAACTGCCCTGTAACATTATCTAAAATTGACATCATTAGTATGTGCTGCTTAAAAATAGTTAGAAATTGTTAAGTCAACTGCATTAGACCCGCATTGTAAGTTTTCGCAACAGACACAATACTCTTATTACGGCAGGGAAAATCGAATAACAACACCGTTTCAGGTTTCAGTGATGAAAGAACGAAGTTTTCGCTTTACCCGATTAGGCGGGCGGCGGTCCAGCAGGCAGGCTGCCTCAAAGAGCCAGCACTAGTGCGGCTCACACAAAGCCGTTGTTTACTTTTTCGTCCTCCCAGTTAAATATCTGGACGCTCCATCGCCGGTCAACAGTATAAGCGGCGTATTCTCCGTCGTCGAGATGCTTTTTATCGTGAAGATTAGCGCCGGAGCGACGTACGATGCACTATTTCGCATTCTCCAGGGGATTATTTAAAGTTTCCTTGAGCTATAGCTTCAGCTCCGTCCAAGTGCGGTTTTATCTCGGAGCTCGGATAGAAACTGCTGAAGGTTTTCAATGCGTGCATGTGCCATGGTTTTAATATTACTTTAAAGTTTTTCATCATAATATTGCTTGGAATCCAATATATAAAAATGTTCACAAACGCGTATTAAATTCATAATGTATTTAGTTTGAAAAGCACTACGTTGACGAAAACGTTAATAATAAAGTAACTCGTCTCAAATCATGAATCATGAGTTCTTGGAAGACAAACATGAATGATTTTATTGTTAAGTTAGAAAAGACCGAGCTAGCCGATTAATAAGGTAATGGCATTGAAGCGAGAGCATTGTGAAGAGCAGGCAGTGTGGACGCGACGGTGCGATACCACGATACCACCAGGGCGCACAAAGCCCACACAATGTACGCCGGCTCATTGTTTAGAGTCTCGGACTAAACATCATGCCCGGCTTTAAGCGAATTACCTACTGCAGTCTCACACATGTAACTTGATGTACGCTACACAATATGCGATATCTAGCCGTGATATACTGCCGCAGCTAATAGGCTCCTTGCACACAGCCTTATCAAATTTCATTATAGTTACGGCGTGTTTTTAAATATTTGGTTGGGAAATTTTTGACAAAGACCATTTATGATACGATAGATAACGCCGACTGAGTTTATTTCTAATATATTAAACTATTTATAAACATGAATTCTTTGACGTAAAGTTGCATCAGATTTGTCATTGATATATTAGAGAGATAGAGAGAGTTTCTATGTACGTAGAGCAAGTAAGTCGGTCGATACGGATCACTTGGCTATTGCTAGAGAGCAAATCATCGTGAATATCGGTGAGGTATCATAGCACTCGCAGTCGCTACGTTTGAAACATGACCATATTGAATAGAACAGGATGGTAAACGTAGAAATGTTTAGCAGGCACACCGGCTCGCTTCCCGATCCCAGTGCGTTTTATCTCTTGATCGCGTTATTCAACCAAGCATCAAAGGAAAATACGAAAGGAAATAGGTATTAAGAAATGAGAAAACGCTTTCTATGTATCCGTTTTGATTTGTTAAGCAAATGATTTGTTGAATTGAAAATAACGAATTGCGTTTCCTAATTTATCTGAGCGTTAAATAAAATTTATGTTGATGAAAACCAATGTTGGAGCGCAAAAGGAGTACGTTCAGTTGCCATTTAGTCAAATAAAAGCTGGTGTTATTTGGAGAGTCGAATGAGTGGACATAATCGCGATAAGGCCCTCCGGCCCGAGGCGATGCAGCGGCGGAGGTGCGTGTTTACATGTCAGTTTTAATTTTTATCGCCCTCCATTCGCCCGAAATACCTACCTACCACCCGTTATCACGTCATTCTACCGTGTTGATAACGCTATAGCACGTAATAGCCGAGCAAACTTACCGATAAACCGTTTTATTTGTGCAAATCGATGTAAAATATTCATGTTTTCTCTGATATAAAATTTGCAAACGAACGCTATTTAATTCTAACCTGTAGTTCATTTAAATATGTGGCGTATCGCGAAACCCGAGAGTATTATGCTGATACATATTGAGTAGTATAGATAAAGCATCGTTAACATGAATCTCGTGAACAATAAAAATAACAAGTAGGCATATAAAATGTACGGAGAACAAGCTAAGACTGCGAGTCATCGTCCTGCTCATTATGTTAGCGCTATGCCAATTCCCATACAATAGTAGACGAACGACGGCGACGCCGGGGGTGACGTCACTTCAAGCTAGCCTTGGGATTGAGGTCGGCGAGCGGAATAGAGGCGGCGAAATGTCGCCTTGAGGGGTTGTTTCTTGTTCGACCGGAAAATCGCTAGTGTACAAATTTTTCAAATTATTTGCTATACAAGCTATTTAATTTCCCATAAAATATAAGTAGGACACTCACCTTGATACTGTCGTAGCAGGCGGTAACTCTTCCATTCTGCACCTCCACGGTAGCCGGGGGATGCGCAAACTTGCATTCGGTATCGGGTCGCGAGCACTTATTCCGTTGAAATTCGCGGCACACTTCAAGCTGTAGCCAACGTGAGTCTTTGCCGTTTAAGAGGTTATTCATGTTCACCATGGTGGCCATTGCTGCCATAAAATTCAGGGGCGGTAGATGCGCGCGCAATTACGCAGAGCGAGTGCGGCGCATAGGCGGCGGGGAGCGAGCGCGCCCGCGCGCTCTCAGCATGCACTGGTCACACGGCTCGAGGACTGCTGCGGCCACTGGCGTCGATCGCGCACCCTCACTGCACTACGACACACACGCACGGACGCGGCTACCACGCTAGGTACCTACTTACTAGTTGATTAATCTTACAATTAAGTTAGAATTAAAGACACCAACGTTGCAAGCTTATTTAGGCGAGTATTAAATTATTATTATCACACGCGTTCTTATCGATGTTGACGGTTGAGTTTAGTAGAGGGCGAGCGGTGCTTGGTGCGCGAGCATGGCGGCGGCCGGTGCGGGTCTGGGCGGGCGACGGTGGGGCGCGAAAAAGCTAGATTAGCGGCTCGGCGGTCAGCGAGCAAGCCGGTGCGGTGCGGGGCTCAACTCTGCGAACAACAAAACACACTGGTTACTCTCCGGGCATTTCGCCCCGGAGCCAAGCACAAGCGGCTACCGGGTTAGCAAGCACGCGCGGCGGCCGCTCTTAGGCCCGCGCTCAATGACAACGCTGAGCTCACCAAGGCGCGTGCGCACCCGCGCACACCTCGGTCTAACGCGGCGTTCTCACTGGTAGCACATTTTAGGCAACCATTATTTCGAGGACTCGTTCTGTCGCATGTTATTCGCCAGCAACATAATGCAATGTGAACTCTATCAAAGGTGCTCAAGAGGAATTAGCAGTTATCAAGTTTTAAGTTGGACGCTGGCTACTTTAGGCACTAGGCATAAAGGTACCTTCATACCGCAGAACGTCGCCTCCAACCTGCTACCCCATCATCATCCTACATACTAATTACAAAATTATGCTATGATGAAAATAGGTATGATGATAATGGGTGATATGAGGTTTTTATACAAGTGATATTTTTATCGTGTTTGTGTTGGTATTCATTAAATTAGAAGTTAAAAATATTTACACAGTTACATATTCATTCCTTATTACTGTTGAAAAATTAATAGAATCGCAATGACAATTAATACATTCACACATAAATTTATTCCCATCTGTTTCAATGGAAACTATCGGTGTATATTGAATCGAAAACGAGTCCATGTGTATAGTAGCTGAATCAACACTACTGATAACAAGAATCTAGATTACTCCATCGCAAAACCAAAACCTTTGGATGGCGCGATACCGATAACACAATTTTTACGTCAATATCATCAGAATAAAACTATGAAAACATGTAAAAGTGTATTCTCGACAGCAACGCCAATAAGTGTCAGGGGAATCATCGCACAGAAAAATTCTTTGTGTGGGCGCCGCCACTAGAAACGTAGCGGTCTGAGGCCGGGAACAGGGAAAAACTCGTGAAACCAAATCCTATCGCAATGCGCTATTTAAAGCATAACCTGGTTGAAAATAGCTCGGTGTGCGGCAACGCAACGTCGCGCTCTTCACCGTGCATAAATCTTCAAATTTTATTTTCAACGTAGATGCATCGGGACGATTTTCACGTGTCGTGGATGCGCTACGCTCGTTCTGACACATTTTCCGAGCCATTCATGTTGTTTTAAATTTTTAAAGTTTTCTATCGACTAACAGGCAATAGCATTGGTAAATTATTGTTTCATTATTACAATTTGTTGGAATGACACGAATTACTCTGTAAATTAGCTGGCGTGAAATTAGATTGTACTGTGTAACAAGGGGACAGGTAACAGTGATTACGAGGTGCTGTGGTTGACCAAATCTAGTTACGCCGAGGTCTACGACAGTAATGATCATTCGTATCCGCTGTGGTTTAAATTAATCAATACATCTTTGTAAATAATTTTGGCTTCAATATGTAGTTGTAATTTTATTTTTTGCAAATAGACATTTCAAAAGTATATCGACAACATAATTGTAGCTGGTATAAATACCAATCTTAAAAGCAATACAGGTTTTCCGCCGTTATGATTGCGACCTATCAAGTCCACCCCTTTAGAACACAAAGCAAATGGACGTTCTTTTATTTTCTACATTAAAACCAGAAATTGAGAATGGTGGCTTCAAATGATATCGGCGGCCGATTCTTTTCACGTCGGCGCCGATCACTGGGAGATTCCTTCGGTGCTCGACACGCACGGGGAAGACATTCAATAACCCAGTGAAAAGATTACCAAGAGCAATCAGACGGAAGCGAATCTAAATAAGAATCTCGTGAGAGCGGTCGGGGACAAGGGTGGGTGAGGGAGGGGAAAAAACAGTCGAGCGAGCCTTTGTGAGATCGCCGATTCGATCAAGTTACCATCGAGACAATCATGTAGATTTTAATAGTTAAGTACGTAGGTACATGAAAAGCACGATGGGGCATTTCAATTTTTAATTCGGATTTTCTCATTATCGGTAACCAGACCATCTGCTCGCATCCACGGTCTCGACCGGGACTCGAACCTGGGCCTCCCACCGTCAAGGAGGGCGCTCTTACCACTGAGCTATCAAGACAATCAGAATACGAGCATCTCGCCTGGAAACCAACAAAAATTTATTTGAGGAAAGTATAACGTACTTTTTACAGGAAAACTTTTCAGAAGAATAATGTTACGTCGAACTGTAATAAATCAATTTAGCGTCGCTGAGGAAGATTCTTTAGCCTTTCCTTTTAAATCGTATTTTGGTAGTTATTTTTTGTTACCAAAGTGAACGTTTTGAAATTTCCTTGATAAATATAACCCAATCGTGCTTTTCACACTTTTATTAGACAGTACTTTGGTTGCTTTCGTAATCTTAATGTTCCAAAAGCATTAAATTGGTAAAATTAATTTTTGAAGGTTTAATAATTTGCAGTTGAATTGGGTTCAACAGAAATCAGGGTAAGGTCGACTATACGCGTGGTGCAGCTGTTTGAAAGGTGCCGGTTAATTCGTTACCTTCACTGGTGACTGTGACTGTAGCACTTTATTTTTTGTGCATTACGTGACACAATTGTATGAAGCAAGATTGAAATATTTAAATTGTAATTGCCGCATACTTTCAAGTATTTTATGTTCTTGTAATGTAAAACCAGATAACTATCTCCATGTAATTAGAAACAGAAGTTTATCTATGAAATAAGACCAACCGACACTACAAGAAAGGAAAGAAAGTATAATAATTGAAAAGAAGAGACCCAACTACGGTATTAATACAATAAACTTAGACAAACGCTAAGAAAACAGACAACTAACTCTACGTAATTTTTATCAAGTTTTCCTAGTTTAACAGGAGGAAGCAATTCTTGGCCGTAATAAGTATGCAAAATCTGTCAAGTCTGTTAAATACAACAAAGACACAGGAAGGTAAACTCCAACTACATCGTTCATTGTATTGAAATAATGTGTTGGTGAAACGTGCCCTCTTTCCTTATCGTTGTTTAGACTTATCGCTACCGGAGATGGCAGTAATCAACTAGAGCGTTTAGTTGGACGATAAAAAGTTGTCCAGACAGCAAGGCCGTCGGACAATGGTAATACGTGCGTAGACCAGGGAAGGTATAATCACGGTTTGACCTTGGATGGTGGTGTCGCGGTTCGCCGCAGACGCAGTTGCAAAAACCACCACCGTGTTTACCTTCGACATGCTTGATCGGAGCAACGTTGCGCTCAGTGCACTCGCAGCTTTAACATTATTTGCATCTAGATTTACATACAATTCAATCCTAGCATTTCCTTTAGTCTGTGTTCTCTTCTCGTTTAATCTGTATCTTGTTTATGGGCGTTAATAAATTCTCAGAGCTCTTCAGTCAAATTAATTTATCTATTTAAACATTAATTTATTTACAAAGATTTACTCTTTTATGAATATACATAAAGTAATTGCAATGTTCAAAATTCTCCTTTTAAGCGAACAACTTCCTTTAGCGTTCTTGATTAAGTTAATATTTAACACATTTAAATTTGTTCTTATGCGACATTTCCATATGACCACGATTGCGATTTCTAAATAACGTTCAAGGTCATTTTTTATTTCTTGTAATGCAATTTAAGTCATAAATCTTCCTACTATGGTTGAAAATTGAACGTTTTTGCCTTTTAACGCATGTGTTCGGTGCTGTCGAAGTGATGTCACCGTTTGTTATTCCTAGCATGGTTCTATATTCGTTGGTCAACGCGCACAATTGTTGACTCACATCGTTAAGGAAAAAAGTGTTATCAATTACTTAGAAGGATGTTTACTGGAGTTAATTTTATGAAATGCAAACTGGGACATAGTTACCTGAATTACAATAAAATTGTCTGTGGGTGTGGAACATTTAGTAGAATATCCTTTCTGGTCTTATTTACTTTGAACTCGTTGTTAAACAACAAGAAAGACAAAAATCTACTTTAACGTATCATATAATTTGCATAGGAAATAAGATTGTCATCACAATTTTAATACAAATTCAATGCAGCTCTAACTAAATGGTTTGTTGAACACGTAGGTGAACCATGGTAGCCAAAACAAAGGCTATTGTTTACCGTGTGCGAGGCAAAGCAGATCCCAACTAGCGCTACTTTCGCATTCGGGACGTGCACGAGGCACATTTAGCAGTCTCAGGGGACGTTGGCGGACTGGTAATTAGCGAGAGAGGCGAAAAATTTGCGACGGCTTAAATTTACGAGGCGCAAATTACACGATTCCGGCGCTATCGCTGCTGCACGCCCGTTAATGTGCACGCCTTATCGAACGTGGAGCGAGGGCCTGCCGACCTGCCACCGCTCTCACACTTCACAGATTGTATCGACCTCACAATACACACCAATACTAATCACGTATATACCATTTTATTTTGTCTGCGTTATTACGGAAATAAACATCATAGAAAGTTTGAAAGACAAAGAATTCACAAAACATAATGTGGTTTTTGAGCGCGTTGACTTAAGTAGTGTTTTTGTCTAGAATCACATTGAATAGCAATAGAAATGCAGTGTGAACAATAATTCACTAGAACTATAAACAAACAAGGCGCTTAAGAACCTCAAAGGCTTAAGAAAAGGTAGAAACAGGATTTGTATGGAGATACAATACAGACGAAATCTTAGTCCAGTAAATTTTACGGAATAGCAACTTATAATAATGAACAACACAATGGATTTTTTTTTTAAGAAATGAAATGAACAATTATTTAATGTTATTAGATTTCTTTGGTGAAACAAAAGTCAACAGGCGCTTTTCACAAAAGTAAGAAAATCTTTTTATAACGATTCAATTAATATTAATCATTAGTTACAAATATAACAGATAATATATTCCGAATGATACTTATATTTGTTCATGTAATTCGGTTAAAACCCCGTTTTATTTTACCCAAATAGATAATTAGACAGATAAGAGGAAGTTATCGCACACGGTTTGGTTTTTGACCAATCCTTCTGTATGCAGACGGTCTATCCTTGAATTCGTAATTAAATATCAGAGTTTCCTTATTTGCCCAAT